TCTGACCCTGTGTGTAGTTTTATTTCGCTGCGGCTTTGCACTCTCAATGCGCTCTCTATCAAAGAGGATGATGAGCTCCCTCAGGGCCTTGCAGTGTTTGGCAAGCGGGCCCTGCTCAAGCAGCAACTTTTAGGCAAAATGCTTCATGTTGTTGCTATTCAGGAGACCAGGACAGCTGAGAACTGCGTTCAGCCCGACGCTGATTACATCATGCTGCATTCCTCGTGCGCAGATGGAGGATGTTTTGGGTGCGCGCTGTGGCTTAGTAAGACTTTTCCGGTTTGTGTCCAGGGAGGCGATCAAGTCTTCTTCACTCTTGATGCGTGCACTGTTGTTGCCGCGGGGCCTCGATATATTGTTGCGCAGGCTGATTTACCGGGGTGTCCCATTACACTACACTCGTGTCCGCGCATGCCCCGTACGCGGGTTGTCGAGTTGCTTCACCAAAGGATTTCTGGGACGAAGTTACTGCAGTCTTATATAGACGGCCGTCCGGGTCTCAGCTTGTCGTCCTTGCTGACAGCAATGCGCACCTAGGGTCGGTTAGCTCGGAGGCGGTCGGGACTGCTGGCGCAGAACTTGAAAACGAATCAGGCTTTGCCTTTCATAGCTTCCTTCTTCGCTTCGGGCTTTGCCTACCTTCAACCTTTGAGGAGCTCCATACCGGGTGCCACCACACATGGCGCAGCAATTCTGAGACAGGCCATCGGTTGGATTATATTGCCATCCCTGTTGAGTGGACAGTTGGGAGTGTGTCATCCCAGGTTTGGACCTGTTTTGAACACATTCATGCAGTTGACGACCATCAACCTGTCCTCCTGCAGTGCCAGCTTACTTCTCGCCTTGCGCCCTGGCGCCCGAGTGTGAAACGTAAGGCTTTCAGACCAGGGAGTGACACTGATCCAGATCAGCTGCAGTGTTTCCGGTATCTTGCTGCTGCCCTGCCGCCCGTTGATTGGCTTCTTGACGTTGATTCGCACTATGCTCTTTTTGTGCAGTCTACGCTCTGGTGTTGGAGCGCCTGTGTGAGCCAGCCTTCGTTTCGGCGGGTCAAGCCTTTCCTGTCTGAGACCACTATGGATGCATTGACTTTGAGGGCCCGGCTTCGAGAGTCCCTTCAAAGTGAGATGCTGTCCTCAGACGTGCTCGTAAGCTTGTTGGGCTTTTCGCGTTCTGGCTTCAGTGGACGCAACGTAGACCCTTGCCTGCTCAAGTCCACCACTTGGCCAGTGTTTTCCGCGCTTGCCATTTCGGTATTGCTCAGGCCGTGGGTTGCTTAGGCCGGCTTCAACGGGAGTTGCGTAAGTCTGTACGTGCTGATCGCGCCGCATACCTGCATGGACTTGTGCATGAGGTTGCTGCTGGTTCCCTTCAGAAGCCGAAACAGCTCTTAGAGCCTTTCCGGTGGTCGGGTCACGCAGACGCGGGGGTTTCTGTCCCTTACCGGCTGTGCTACTTGAGGACCGACAGATGGACACGACATTTCGCGCAGCAGGAGGGCGGTGTCCTGACCAGTGCTGATGGGTACGGTGCCGCAGTTGCTCCGCAAGCACCGACTCCTGACGTTGTCCCTCTTCTTGACATTACTTGCGTGCCCACTCTGTGTGATGTTGAGCAGGACCTCCTACGGCTTTCGCGTGGCAAGGCAGCTGGGCCAGATGCCGTCACAGCAGACCTGTTGCAGCTTGACGTGGCTACTGCTTCTAGGCGCTTGTTGCCTATCTTTGCCAAGGCTGCGCTTGGCTGTAGGGAGCCTGTGAGCTACAGGGGAGGTTGCCTCATTGCGCTTGCAAAAAAGGCTTTTGCTAGCCTCAATTGCTCTGACTTCAGGAGCATTTTGCTGTCCAGTGTGCCTGGAAAGCTTTTGCATCGTGCTTTGCGACGGCGTTTGTTGCCTTCTCTTGTGGAGGTCGCTTTCCCATTGCAGGCAGGTGCTGTCCCTGGCAGCTCTCCAGATATGCTGATTCTCTACCTGACTGCGTTCCAACGGTGGGCACAGGCCACTTGCGGAAGATGGGCTGTTGTCTTCTTTGATGTCAAGCAAGCCTATTATCGTGCCTTGCGACAACTCGTGGTTGATTGTGACAGCGACGAGGGTCTTCTTCGCGTGTTGCATGGCTTGGAACTTCCCGCTGCTGCACTTGTTGAGCTAAGGGATATGTTGGCCGCTGCTGCGTCAGTTTCTCCCCTAGCAAGGCAACAACACCTGACTGCGCTTCTCAGAGACTTGATGACTGGAACCTGGTTTCGTTTTGATAGCCACCAGTTTCTGACTGTCACTCACCAGGGCACTCGTCCATGTGATCCGGTGGCTGATGTTTTATTCGCCTTCACACTGACGACCTTTTTCCGTACTGTCCATAAGAATTACGAGACAGCGGGTCTCATTGACGTAGTTCCTGCTGTTCGTGAGCATCCCCTTGTTGGCTGCTTTCCTCAGAAGGTTGAGTTGCAATTCGTCAGCTGGGCGGATGACTTCGCAAGGCCTCTTGTCGGACGCGATGCGGAGGATCTCTTTTGCAAGGTTCGGCTGGCCGTGCAGATTTGCTCAGAACGGGCTACAGCTTGTGGCATTGAGCTTGCGTATGGTGCTGATAAAACTGCAGCAGTTTTTGATAAGTCTACCATACATGCATTTCGTGCTCTGGATATTGATCTTGTGCATGACGGAGTTTCTTTCTGTGATGGTGTCTCTGGAAAGTCACTCAAAGTGCCTGTTGTTGCTGCGTATAAGCATCTTGGTGGCATTTTCAGCGCTGCTTCTAAGCCTGACCTTGAGTTGTTCTTGCGTAGAGCTGCTGCTTGGGGTTCCATTAGGCCAGTTCGTGGGAAGCTGTTTGCTAATGGCAGTATTCCTCTGGCCTCGCGCAAAACCTTTTTGCGATCACTCGGCCTTTCCAAGTTTGCTCATGGTTCTGGGGCCTTGCATCTGCTTCAAAATGGGCACCGCCGCCAATGGCATGGAACGTATGTGTCACTTTGGTCGCACCTTGTGTCCTGGCAACGCGGCCATAAACCGCACAGTTACCATGTCTTGGATGTCACCGGTGCTCCACCCCCGCATCTCTTTCTGGCTTTGCAACGTGCCTCGCTACTTTCCAGGCTCATTCGGAGCGGCTTGTGGGCAATCATTCATATGTTGCAGCTTGAATGGGAAGCTGCGCCTGCCAACTCCTGGTTGTCACAGGTCCTGGAGGATATTAGGTCTGCTGCTGTTTGGGTTTCTGTCGCTGATACTCTGAAGCTTTGCAGCTCTCCTCTTCACGAATTATGTGAACAGCTTGAAGATTGCCCTACCTGGTGGACCGCTGTGCTGCAAGCGGCTTGCAAGTCCTTTGCCGATGACATTGGTCGGTGGAAATCGGGGACACGTGTCATTTCATGCCCGAGTGAGGGAGGCTTCTCCTGTGCAGTCTGCGGGGATTCCTTTGTGCTGAGAAGCTCCTTGGCTACCCATCAAGCACGCCGGCATGCACTTTGGGCACCTGCGCGGCATTTTGCGCCACACAAACAGTGCGTTGCCTGCCTGAAGGTCTTTGGTACTGTCATGCTGACCCAGGCCCATCTCCGTAGAAATGCGGCTTGTCTGAGGCGCGCTGCTGAGCTGATACCACCCCTTAGCCGGACCGAGATTGTTGAGGCGGAGAGCGCGGATAAGAACCGTCTGCGCGCAGTCAAAGCTGGTGGTTGGAAGTGCTACCAAACGGTGCACCGTTCGCTTGCTGGCGAAGGTCCGCATCAAGCTGTTTGGGGTGAGATTGAGCAAGATGCCGATGAATTTGCCATTTCTGTGGTAGCTAAGTGTTTTCGCCCTGACCCGCTTGTGCTCACTTGGGTTGACAGCTTTTTAAATGCTGCTTCTACCAGTGGCTCCAGGCAGACCACTTTTAAGTGGTGGGATGTAAAGCCTTCCGAACAGCATTCGTAGCATGCGCTTTTTGCAGGCGCCTCAGTTGTGAGGCTCGACGGACTGCCTACAAATGGACAAAAAATATGGAAACATCTAGACTCCTGCTGCCACCACCAACCCTATTCTCATTCCTCCTCGTATCAAACTGGATCTGCCTTCCTACCTGTACCCCGCACCATCCTGCGCCTCTGGCCAACTTGCATGTCCGGGATTTCTGCTATGTCTGGGATGCTGCTGGCAGGGCTGTGAAAGGTCAGACTCCGATTCTCCCAAAGTGCCTCAGCACCATTTCCTGCCGTCAGTTTCCAGCACTCACATCAGAACGCTCTCTTTCTTTTCTTTAAGGGTGATGAGAGTGATAAGAGGCTCTACAGCCTCCCTAGGGCCCTGCCCCACACCCTCCTCTCTCTCTCTCTCCCCTTCTCTCCTGCTGTCTGCGTCGCTTTGCGCTCCTGTCCTCTTGTCCGGAGCGATTTGTTTGCTCGTTAGCTGATTTGGATCCAACTTGTTTGGAACCGCAAGGAACGGCAGCAGCACGCCTCGCATTAGCTAGTTGGAAAACAACGCATAGCAAAGCGCACCGGCAGAAATGTTGCGGCGCTCAGAGATCTCACCTGTGATTCAGATGGTAAAGTCCTCAGATATTCACCTCTGCTTCACGCGACCGATCTATGAGTCGAGCTGCAACATACCTCAGATCTCACCAGCGGCCAGTAGGGCTCAGCCGGGAAATCAGATGTTTGTAGCATCACATGCTGAACTGCAGGAGCAGCTGCGCGGCTGGAAGGTTCTTCAGAGTTTAGGCTTCTTAAGCTTGGCCCCCCCGTGATGGCCTGTGTGTCTAGCCAACGCAGCTTGGCTCATGCGGGAACGGATAGCTGGAAAGGCATCTTCCACGATTTCTGTGGCATGCGATGCACTTGCAAACAATTTTTGCAGTGGAGACTGTGCCTAGCGGTGAGGAACGTGGCACAGTATTCAGAGAACTTGGAACACTGCGTCCTACTTGGTGCACACATTGCCTGTAGCTGCTGCTACAGTCGTTCCAGACAATCTGTCGCGCCAGTGATGAAACCTCTGTCAGCATCTGTCAGCTGAAATGGAACGGCCAGTGCTTGATGATGGGCACCTAAGAGCTGCAAAGAGCTGCGATATGCCGAGCATTGCAACACAGGCGCCATGAAGTGTACAGAAATCGATGTGCTCGGCCTTTGTGGTCAGCTCCGTAAAGGCAAAGGCCAAGGCAGCAAGCATCGCCAGCCGCCCATGCTTGAGCTCTGCTTCTGCTGTCCACCGCCTGCCCTGCGGTAGCCAACCGACCATTGGCATTTCAAAGTCCTGCAGGCATATGCAGGCAAGTAAAAGCAGGATGACTGGCAACTTAAATCTCTGACGCGTTGGAATACTGTGGAGGCGCAGCGGGTTTGATTGATTGCCATATTTGCAATGAAGCTGCATACTCTCAATCTGACATTCATGATCTCACGCCTCCACGTGGCGATGAGGCACCACGCACCCCCCCCTGTCCAAGCTACGTGGTCGTGCCAACTTGTTTGTCTTAGCTGTGCGCACACCTCTTTTGAACAAGCTTTCCGGTCAATGGCTGGCTTCTTTCTGAAGTCTGGTCCGATTCTGGTTTTACGTGGTCTCATGCCTCGTTTCTCTCCACTCACTCCACAGCCCGTCCAGTGTCTCACTGGCCTAGCAGTAGCAAAGAAACAGAAAAAAATGAGGGGTAGCGGACGAGAACATATCCTTTTCCTGTTGCCGCCTTTCCAAAATCCTTTCCACCGAGTACGCGCACCGGCAGCCTTCAGCACATTCTCATTCACAGTTCCTGAAAATCCACACACACCGTCCCGGACCCTGTCCGCGTACTCCCTTCAACACGCCTCTTTACCGTCCGCACACGATACCGCCCATATGGCAAGTTCACGAAGCTGCCAACGTGATGCCAGGTGTGAACATGGTGGTCTCTGTATGGGTTTGGCAAGCACATTCGGACTGAAGAGCCTGCTCCACAGATTCTCTCCTGCCCATAATCCACTGGGCTCAACGACAAGCATTCATATTCCCACATGCGCCATGTCTGCGTTGCTGTCCTTCAAGTTCAGCGGATCAAAGCTGTAGAATCCCGGCGGGCTTTCAGGCGCTTTTGAGAGCTCCATGATTGCAATGCCAAGAGCAGCTGTGCCAAGGGCCAATCCCACTGGTGCATCATCTAGTTGTAGACCTCCAAATACAAAGCAAACGGCTGTCTCAGGTACAACTGCTAGCTCCATCTGCCTGAGAGATCAAGAAAGGGGAGCTTGAGAGCGGAGTACTCCAGCTCGGAGAGTGGCCACAGCACTGTGGCAAGCATGGCAACCCGTGCGTGCTTCAGCTCTGCTTCCTGCATCCATTTAAACGTAGCCAAGTCCTGAGGAGTCACTCGGTCCACACGCGACAACATGCGACAACGCGCACATGCATGCACCCTGGCATTCGCTGAGGCCATGGCTTTCGCAAGGCAGAAAGGGTCAAACCCAGCATCACCAGGCACGTTGACTATGAATTCTCGATATCGTGGCGGATTTAGAAACCTCGCTGCTCAACAGGCGGTGAAGGTCTAACAATGGCCATGAGCCACTTACGCACCACAGCCAAGATGCGGCAACGCGGCAGGCTGGTCCATGGCTGCACAGGCCTGTCGTGCTCTGTGACGGCATCATGATGTGCATCGCGAGCATGCCAAGAAGGCGTGCTCAAACCGACACAGAAGTTCAGGGAAGAGGAGGAGCTGATATACTTGGCAGCCAAAGTAGCTGGCTGGCAACATTCAAGTGAGCCTCTAGCAGCTGCCGCACAGACTCGTCTGAGAGGGTGTCGAGGCCAAGGCTGTCTGTTGCAACATCTTGCGACTCCTTCGGCGCAATTTCCAAGTCTGCCAATCCAAATCCAAGTCAAGTTTGAATTTCACGAAGCTTGTAGACGACATAAACAGATGTTTGGACAATGCTGACGTCACTTTGCAGAGCTCCTCCTTGTCAGCCCTCCTGGCCACTGTGCGCCGTCGCTGAGCAGCGCCCACGACCCCAACGCCCACTGCAATGGAAAGCTCTGCCTCTGGCGAGCACAACACCAGACATCCGAAATCCTTTCTTTGACTTCATGACATGCCAAGGCTCGCGATGCAATGCTGTCCGTGATGAGAAGAAGGGCGATCGATCTAGAACAGCGCCTGATTTGTGCTGTCTTATGCTTGCTGTCTGGTCTTCACACGCTTGATCCTGCTGCCCGGCACCGTACACCTCTAAGAAGCCTCTGGCGGTCCAAAAGCCGGCAAAGTGGCGTGACGAAGGTGACGCGACTCGCGCAGAGGCCTTGAGGGAAAGGACCTGGCAGCAAACAGGCAAACAGATGCAGAGAAGCATTGTGAAATCCCTGCAGCTTGGCCTCGCCCAGAGGAGCTACTATCACTGGCCCTGCAAATCAACAGTCCGTTTTGGCAGAACACAGGCATGCAGCCTGCCTGCTGGAAGCTCTTCCATCGTGGAAGGATGTATCACAGCTACTGGCTTGAGCACTCAAGGTAGACAGAACTCGTCATCAAGCTTTGCATCTTGGAAAGGCTTACCGTGAGATAATGCGGGACCCGAGAGCCGAGAGCCTTGCGATGGTAGTTTCTTGCTTCTGCCGGGAAACAGGCTGCACAAATCCTTCGAATTGCAAGCATCTGAGGTCTCGTGCTTGCGATTTTGAAAACATGTGCCTCCACCAGTCCGGTCCGGCCAGACACTACCTTCGGTTCACGCGACAAAGCTTGCATCGACTTTGCAGGCCTTTGGGCACTGGGTGCCAAGCCGTTTGCCCAGGACTGTTGATTGCAGCAATACCCAATTGTGGGACACTTGTTGATGCCTGTACTTTTGCCTCAGGAGTCACAAGTGAGAGACGATCAGCAGGGCTCATAAAAGCTACCTGGATCATCAGTTTGAATTGAGCACGCTGCCATTGCAAGCTCAACCTTCAAGCATGCAATGCCCTTTTCTTCACTAGTTCTGGCTGGTAAGCTACTTACGACTTGGCTGCACTGAAAAACTGCAATGCGCTCGTCTGCGCTTGTGGCCTCGCGAGATGGCGCAAAGATTGCAGCCATTGCTCCCTCACAGCTGTCGCACCTGTCTTCTCTCACTTGCACCATGCACCAACTTCATCAACCGAACAGCTAACAGCTGAGCTCGCTGAGCTAGCGGCAGTTCGTCCAGCAAGCGCCCTCGCTTCATGACCAGACGGATCCTCAGCGCGTGTTACATCAAGCACCCTTGTCTGGACATGTGGACGTGCTCATCAAGCTTGGCTCTGTGAAAGCCAGGTCCGGATTGAGGGCCCGGCGCATCTTCTAAACGCATGACCTGGAGAACTGTGGACGAATGCGCTCATGCTCATGAATTTCTGTAGGGCAAAGGTTGCCCTTGGGAACCGAATGGAAGATGCTGCAAAACAGCAGGCTCCCGGTGTGCATAGCACATGAAAGCATCAAGTCTGCACTTAAACCCTCCCCTCTTGTCCCCTCTTGTCACAAAGTTGTTCGAAGCACAGCAGACACACCATGCTCTGCCGGCGTTGCCGGAGGAGATGCTTAGCTTGTAAGCTGAAGGCACGAGCGGCAACTGCCGCTGCGAATTCCCCCAGACCTCGCTTGCTGCAAGAACATGCTATCAGGGCTATGCATGATAACCCTGTTCATGAGTTGGCATGCTGCTGCTGGCTGTAGTCGATTAATTAGTCGCTTGCTCGAGTGATACACGGCGCCCCACCCCTTATTTATCTGCACAGAGTTTCATCATTGTGGGGGGGGGGGGGCGGGGTGCGGTGCGTTTAATGTGATTGAGGATCAATTGAATTTCTGTTGTGACGTCCATGCTTTTCTTTATCATTAGATACTAACCCGCTAACGGACCCTATCACAATGCATTATCGAAAATCACGCTTAATTCCAAGCAGGATTTCCTTTAGACTCGTTATGCAGCAGTAGAATCACTCAAGGATCGAATAGCAACATTATGCAGACCGCTGACTCCAACTAGATTACCTTAGCTCAGACTCTATAATAACCTCAGAAATCAAGAAGGTACCTAATCCCTAAAGGATTCCTTATAACCCTCTGTTTACCTCAGAAACCTCTGCTAATTGATCAATAGCCTAATGACAGATTGTCAGCTCTCTGGGTCGAGCTTGTATCTTGAGATTGTAGAGAGAGTTGTTTCTGAGCCAGGCCCGAGAACCTCCGAAAATGATTAAGCTGCTTGAAGTACCTTGGAGTATTGGGTCTGCGACTGTGGCCGAGGACTGCATGCGGCTGCACACCCCATGCCCGCCAGGTCTCAACCTCTCGAGGCTAAAGAGTTCCAAGAAGTCTAAGCCTGTGCCAACTCATGCCGTCCTGAAAAGAGTGTCAGCAAACAGCAGTGCATCAAATTCCAACTGGCACTTGGCAAGCACTACCACCTGAACAGGCAGCTCTCTTGGGCCAGGACCAGTGCGTACTGCAAACAGAACATGGCTGTAAAGGATGTATGACCTTGGTATTGCAAAAGGTGCACACCAAAATCCCATCTGGCAAGTGTTCCAACGTGTTGTTCTGGGCAAGCTGCAGTTTTCCGCGGGCCGCTTGTCCTGAGGCTGGTATGAGCACAACAGAGATATAGGTCAAATCAATGCGAATGCAACAACAGAAGATTGAGGCCGCTGCGGCAAAGAGAATGTCCAAAAGGTTCTCTTGCAGGTCTGAACAAAGCAATGCCTTGCAACTTCTTTTGGGGGGGGGCTATCCCTCAAGCCAAAAGTTTTGGCTTGCGGCACAGCGATCCAGCGCTGCGCGGAAAGCTGCGTTTGCTGCGTACAGTTCTTTGCCCCGTCCAGGCCTCCACCCATCTTCTGATTTGTAATTAAAGATGTGTGTGCATTGCAGATGCTGCCATCAGTGATCGAATACCTAGGACTCTAGCACAGGCAATCCTTTTTTCCTGCATGGTCAGATGCAGTGTCTGGATGCAGTAGTTTGCCCGAAGAATTATGCAAAGAAATAGCTCAAAACGCCATTCAATTTGGTGATGAGGTGGACAAAGGTTACGCAGCGCAGATTCATGCGGCCAGTGTTGCGCATCAAACTCGCGTGTGGATCCTCATGTCTGCCGTGAAGTCGAACTGATAACGACGAAAGCTCCATCAGCATCATCCACATTTGCCAATCACAGTTGGTATGTCTGGCTTTGCCGCAGCGTGCATGGCCCATGCCCGGTCTGAAAGGCGACTTCCGCCGTGAATTCAGCAAACGGTCGCGATTCTCTCGGTGACGCTTAGCGATTTCACTTGCGCCCTTGGTCACTGCTGCAACTATCCTTAGCAGCCCTCCACTTGAGGACCACATTATCGCTCCACATTGGTCGCCCATGTTCCCTCGGCCAGACTCCGGGCACCGGAGGCGCATTGCCACATTGCAAGAAAATGCTAGAACCGTAATCACTGAGAGATCTCAGCGGAAGAGGGTATCACACTTGCCGCCAGCCGAACATGGCGAACATAACAGTGACCGTGTCAATGTGGGCTGATGAGCCTGGTACCACACGCCTTACAGTTGACTCAATCAGGGTTTACCTCCCCATTTGGCTTGACGCATCATCGGTTTTGTTGCCCAAGGTCAGCTACTCCGGACTACAACCCGCACCAGAAGCGCCTGGGCAAATACCGCATCTCTCCAGGCCATGCAAGGCAGAATGTTGGCAGTATATGGCACGAATGCAAAGTCTGGAATAATCTAAGTCCACAATCTATGGCGGCTTTGGGCTGGCGGGTTTCTTAACCTGTCAAGTCCACACGCAGCCAAACAGCACGCAATCCCTTCTTCAAGCGGAAGTCGTCAACAAAGGCCCTGTTGCCGAGCCACAATGACCGAAAACAGAACCTAGGAAGGGCGTTTTCAACCAGCCGACAAAAATGAACTCCATCATTAAATGTTAAGAGCACACCAGAATGTCACCATCACACTTTGACGTCTTGCCCCGCCATACCCTGCATCCAAGCACACTCAGGCAATCGCACCTACCTGCCCGTTTCCAGTCCCACGTCCCACCACGCCTTGCCGTGCCGAATCCAATTAAGTTGGAACACTCTTGCCGACGACAAGATGATTAAATCAATCAACCCATGTATTAAAAACATCAGCCCGAAAAGCTTGCACAAAGAGCACCTTAGCCCGTCTTTCACCTAAACATATAGGGTTGCGCGCAGCACCCTTACTGCATGAGAGCTCGCCTTTCATGGAAGGTGCTGATGTACGTCGGTTCTCCAAACATTAGCCAGAGTTAACTGCCTGAAACAGCACCCAAATGTTCCCAGACGGCTCGACAGTGCGACTCAAGCACGTCTACGGCTAGAAGGCAGCGACATAGAGAGCTGAGGAATCACCTCAGCCCTCTCTAAGAGAATTCAATGCTGCCCTCAGCGCCAAATAGAAGCCCAGCCCGCGCATCACCCAAAAACAAGGACAGATAGGGCTGCTTTGGCACCAACACGGTACTCAAGCCCGTCTTTCTCCAGAAGCAGGTGACAAGGTTTGGACAAGGCAGGAGCTGCAAAAAATCATCATCATGTGTTGAATGCCTGTAAGGCTTCCTAGATCCTCAACTAACTGCACCTTCGCAAATCTGTGTGCAGCTTACATATTGCATGTGCTTGAAGCACAAATGCCAAAGATCAAACCACACACTTGGCTGCCTTGCTGTGCACTGTCCAGTGAAGAGCATTGCAACCTGCTCCAAGCATATCGTGTCGTGCTGAAATTGCCATCGTTGCCATCTGAGATGCATGCTTTCTGGGGCCGAGGACAAGCTGGTGCACTTCCTGTCTGACTGTGAGTTGGGGTTGGCTGAAGTGTCTAGCCAAATGCCTAGTGGAGCTTCTTCTGGTCTTCGAGCCAGAAGCACATGCGCGTTGGTGCCGCCTTAGATATTCAGGGCGAAAACAGAACGGCAAGGCCACTTGTTGTTCTGCAAGCGCATTGGGCATTAGCAAGATCATACTCTGAGGACCTAACCAAATCCAAACGAAGACAAACCTGAC